AATTCATTCCAAAAAAATTTTGATATTTAAAAAAATAGACTAGTTGACTTTAATTAACGTTTTTACCATCAACATTTGTCTGAAAGTAAGATTTACAAATTGGCTATTCGAATTTTTTCAAAAAAAATTTTTATTTAATTTAAAATCGTTGGTAAAAAAAAACTGTTACATCATACTTGTAACGCGAAAGTCTATAGATAATTTTATTTAAATATTGATATCTATTAACACACAGAGTGAATCTATAATTCTAGCCTTGTCCAAGTTCATCCTTTGCTAATGATCATTTATTCAATTACAAGTTCATATTATCTTTCAAAAGGATTGGGGACAAGTTCCTCGTCTCAAAACATTTATTCATTAATCTTATACATTTTTCATATTCTGTATAGTTATTTATAACAATTCCGATTTTAAGTTTGTTTCGTCTGATTTTTAAATTAATTTTTTTCAGAAAAATAATTTTTATGGCAGGTCAGGTATATAACCTATCTAATTTTTTGAAGATAATTGCTACATATGACTACGTTTATACATACTTTTACCAATTTAACTCACGAAATTCATATAAAATATAATATAGGTAATTCATATATTTGTACATAACATTTTTTTTTTTTTTATAAATACATTTATAAAAAACTTCAATTTCAGTGTATCATTGTAAGACGTTCTGTAAAAACTACAAATGTATACATTTATGTATAACTGTATAAGAAGTATGCATATTAAATAGCCATCTATCAATACTTTTGTCAAATTGTATTAAAGACAAATTTTTTCGAAATTGTGAGTTTATTAGTATCTACTATATCAGCTATACTCATATTACTAGCAGAGAATAAAAATACCTATCAGTGAATATTATTGACTGACCAAGAATACAAATAACTTAGCAATATCATCTTTCTCGTTAAATTATAACCCTAATTCTGCACAGTAAAGAAAATTGACTGATGATAAATTGATCTTGAAAATGTTCAACTTAAATACGAGCTTTACAAATGCGTGCAACACGTATACCTACGCATAGATATATAGATGACGTAATAAATAGGAATGTATATGATGTAGGTATCTATGGGCATCGATGTTTTAACTACTTGGACATGGAAATATTTAATACAGTACCTAATGTCAACCTAAAACGAAGGTCTTTTTTCTGTCCTGAAGTACCTACAATTTATAATTTTGATTCAGATTCTAAAACTTAATATTAACCTCACACCTATATTTATTTTAAAAAACTGTTCATAGCACAAATTTTATCCGGCCCACAGGCAAGAAAAAAAGTAAAAACCTTTAATGTTCTAGTGTTGTAGTTGATCATTTTTGTTCATTGGTTTTTACCGACGTCTGCAATTTTGATGACCCTCGAACAATTTCCAGATACCTAATGTGGCCCTACAAAATTATTAGTTGGTGACCCCTGGTGGCTGGTTTATCGATTATGAAATATACACTAATTCAAGGATTAAGTAAAGACCTTTGAATCCCTACAGAAATTGGTTATTATACGTTATTAATTATGATTTATTGTCAATTTATGATGGGTTATGGCGGTGATGGGTAAAGGTACTGCGTTGTAATTTATAAGCATTCATACCTTTACGTAGTTAGGTACTAATGCAGTACTTATAATAACGATAGTCTAAAACGTATATTGTCATAATGAGATAGTATATACTTACCGTTTTTTATTTTTATTTCGAAATTTTCCATCATATTTGTAGATGTGCTCTGGTCAATGTTAAATGATTCTCAAAAAGAATAAAAAATAGCCCTCTAATAGTTAAGCACTGGGTACCTATGTCATCTTAGTATCTTACCAATTAATTTATATTTCTATAGTTTCACCAACGGTCTGCAGTAACTAATAAATATCTTTCATATGGTTCTATACAACTAAACATATAAACATAATGTTTACAAGGATTGACAATTATTTAAGTTTTTTCACTAAGTACCTCGGCGATTAGTGATTACTAACGACTACTGTATCTGTATTAACTATGAAAAGCTATTTGAAAATAGTCCACATGAATACATGATATATTAAAATGCTTAATAGTTAATTGTCATTTAATGCCTACATATGGTTTTCGTACATACCCATTATGGCATTATATAATATAGGTAAGCATAAAAATATTAGTGTTTTGATGCCATCATGGTGAAATTATTTGCTTAATTGGAATTTACGAACATGCATCTTTCATAGTTTCGTTAATGTTATGTCATTGAGGCGATAATAGACCTAAAGGGCTGATTGGTTGAGTATAATTTCACAAAATACGCCGACACTCGGGCAACCGATGATAATATTTATTCCGTGGATAAAATACAATTTTATTATTTTCAACGCTACACTGTTTCTGGGATCAGGCGGTGCAGCATATAGGCAACCTAAATATCAATTAGACGTTAATAACATTTTAAGTACCTCCATTATGACCCATAATAAATCACAGGGAACACTCTTACTGCGTACTAAGTAAATTCAAATTTTTAGGTTAGAGAAAATCATTATTAATCACAAAATGTTATTCATACTCCAAATACGTTGTTTAGTGAGTGTGATTATATTGGATACCGAACATCAAGGAGTTAAGTATAGGCAATTTGTGTGTACGTGCGTGGGTCTGTGCTCAGCGGTTCTCACTAGTCAACGAATTATCAAGTGCCAAAAGAATATAATTTTTTTATTGTCCAATAATATAAATATTTTGTCAATTGTATTAACTTACAAACCAAGCAAGTTATCCGATACATTTCTAGAACCGAATATAAATTAGTTATGAAGTAAACTTGAAAATGATCATTACATTTTTTAATTAAATATTATTTAATTTTCTGAAATTTTAATATTCAAAATTGTTAAGTTTTTATGAGAAACTTTATTGCCTTTGTACAATTGTACCTACATAAACATGTACACGTTTAGTCGCAATCGATGCCAAAACCGTGGATGCCATTTTGTGTGCGATACCTCCACTGGCTTTCGATACACGTCAATTTAAAATTACTAATGACAAATTTCGATTATATTCCGCCAGTTTAAATAATTAAATTGAATAAGCGTTTTCTTTTTGTTTTTAATGTAAAACGTTATTTGTATTTTTAGTTCCCTTAATCACTTATAAAATAAACATTTTTCATTAATTTTAAATAAGTACTGATGTTCTATTACGTTAACCTAAGTAGCAATTGACACTGGTGAAACAGAAAACGCATAAACAAAAATAATTGTTGTTCTCTTCTATGAACCGTGTCCTTTTATAGGTTACTACAATCATTCTCCAAGTTGTCGATGCATATATCAAGTTTGAAGTTAACGAAGTAATTAGTGGGGTAACCAGGTTTATGAAAGGGGAGGGAGTTAAGTATAAATTAAACTAAGTTTTTTATAGTTTTCATTAATTATTAATATAAAATATAATACATTTATGAAGTGGAAAAAAGACAATATGAGGTTAAACACCAAAAATTCCCCTGGCTATGCCACTAGAAGCAATAATGGATATAATAATGGGCAAGGACACAATATACTCAAGGACCAAGGTAGTAAAATTACAATAACTCTGTATAGCCGTAAACATAGTGGCAGTCAATTTAATTGGGTTCATAGTTCATATTATGATTATTATTTACTCCAAATATTTGTAAAATCCATTATTAATTGTTTTATTTTGATAGGGAAAATATCAATTTAAAAATAAGTTAACATTCAATTTATAGTTTTGACTAACTGTCTAACTGAAAATATGTGTCAAATAAATAATAGATAAAACCAATGCTTTTAAGCTAAAATGTACTTAATAGTTATTACTTATTTGTATATTATAAATTATATTGTTATGTATTCATATTATTCCTATTATAACATTTAGTATGTTGCACTAGAAAATGTTTTTATCATAAAATAATATTGTACCTACCCTTTATGACTTTATATTATGTGATAAAATTTCAATGAGAACAATATTTTTAAATATTGCACTATACTTTTTATGAGGTACTCGAAACACAATCACAATTAATTTGAACAGTGAAATTTTACAAAAATTGAATAAGTTTTTACTCCTCTGCCAATATAGAAACCATCAGATGCATATAGACATGCGATTCATACATTAAAAACAAAAATAAATAACAAAATTGATGAATAGTTCAATAAGAAATGTTTTTTTTCTTAATTATTGACATAAATAGTTTTTTAAATTTAATTTGCTGCGCAATAATGGTTTTATCAAACATGGTGTGCACTATGTACTTTATTACTACGCAGTGTCCTCATAGTACTGATAAAAATGTGCATAAGCAGTGTATTGATTAATCCCCTTGAAACACACATACATATGTATTATATACAAATTCACAAATCAACAGTTGGGAAATGCAGGACTTTTTGATAACTCTTCCTATGTAAATGTTTGTTTGAGAGGGAGGGAGAAAGAGATTATTAACAAAACAAATTTTTTACATACATTTTTATCTACTTATACATTAGCTTCCTCTATTAATAATTAACATAATAAATGATACAGCTGTATCTGTTTTTTTTCAATGAGGTCAGAGATTAGACAGAACCATCCAAATTTCTTGAACTCTGTTTGGTTATGTTATCATGCAATACCTTGGTTAAGACGTAGATAGAAAATATACAAACATTAGTATAAATATAATAAAAAAATAAATAATTAATTGATCTAACAAAAACTGTACAAAGATGTGTCTACAGAAATTTCAATAGTTCGTGAATTTTTTTATTTATATCTAGTATACAAAAATACATAATGTTAGTTATTATTATAAAGAAAACATGCATTGTCAAAAAAATTGACATTTCATAATTTTCATCATTGTTCACTGAATCTAAAGTTTGCACAAGACATGTCAGTGTACAGATTTTTTTTACACAATTTACATGATTTATACGCACCAAAATCACAACAATAAGTTATATTGTATTTTCTATTTCATAATTAAATACAATATTATATGGAAAAAAAATAATATAATAAGTTTTATTTTTAAACTGCCTAGGATTTGATTGTCTATAAAATTTAACTATTGGAAGGGAGGGAGCAGAGTTCCATCAAAATACAAATAATACAATAATATAATTTCTTTTCAAATAATACTTATCAACTAAACATTATCGAATTACAATACATGGTACATCATTGAACGTAAGATATTGCAAAAATTAATAAATTAAAAATTATAATAATCATACAATATAATTACACAATTTTTTTTTCATAATAACAATTCGTAGGAACACAAAATGTCGATATATAAAACACGACCATACCATAATCCGCATTTTTTTTTTTTAAATAAATAGTTTTTTTTTTTGAAATTAATAAAAATAAAATAATAGTTGTAATACTCTACAGGGAAAAAAATAAATTAAAATAAATTGGGTCTTTTGTACTTTAATGATCACATAAACATTGACTTGATAATAATATATAATTTTTTTTATTGTTATATATATTCTAAATGTTAAAATTATTGTGAAAAAGAATATTATTTTTACCGCGTGTATTTATTTATTTAATTGCACTGCGCTTATCACATTTGTTTCCACATATACATGACTATTTTTCACCATGAAAGGAGTATGGAATCAACTTTTATAATATAAATAACGTCATCACCTATTGATTGCTTGATATAATATATATGTATATATTTTTATACTTGTAATACATAAATATATACTCAATTTCATGAAAACAAACACTCACATGACATTAATACATGTCACATGTAAAGAGTAGAAATTTAGAACTAAAATACAATATGTGCATGTATGTATGTATGTATGTATGTATGTATGTATGTATGCATGTATGTATGTATTAACAACTATATTTATTTGTACATCACAATTAATTAGGTACAATTATACCGTTCCTATGTAATTTTTTTTAATTTTTTTTAGTAGTCATTGCATAAATGTCTAATTACAATACTGGGAATTTTGTAAACTAATAATTACAACAACAGCACAAAGGTATTATACACACATACATTCAAATATATTTGTATGAAAGCTTTCATATTTTACAGTATTATATATCATGATAAAGTGTGTGTCTTAAATGTAAAACAAACAAATAAATATTTAATAATACCTAACGGTAATCCACATCTTGAAAGGAAAATAGTATATTATCATTAGTGAAGAATTTGAGATCATATCTGTACGGTATATATTATAATATTGGATATTAAAGTGTTACAATATGAGCAGTGAGTAAAACAGGATACAATGTGTTGACTTTAGTCTTCACTCTTCAGATATTGTACAATTCAAAAAGTTAACCAGTAGGTGTTAAAAGTTATCTACCAACCATACCATGCACGTCTCAAAATGTTTTACAAAAATAATGATAAGAATACATGAAAAAATAAAATGAGTTATTTTAAAAACTATTAAATGGTTAAACAATAGTGTGACATACAGATATGATTAAAATAGTATTATAGAGGTAATATGAATTATTACTATTTCAAGAGCTGTATAGTGTATTCTTTTTGATATGCTATATTATAGAATGTAGATACTGTTTGCTTTACTAACATGCATAAAGTATTAGAGTGGATCATAGTGTTTTTCCATTTTCTCGTGTTAGCTAAATGAGCTATTGAGAAAAATAACATAGTCCACTCTATCAATCGATACATATAAACATAATATATATTATATATATAAATACACACACATAATATATGTCATAAACTACTTTTCAATTTTTTTTTGTTTTTTAAAGGATCTTAAAAATTTCATAATAACAATTATTATTGCTTTTACATTGACTACTGAATACCATGTTAAATAAGTTAAATATAATATGTTATTTCCATTTATTATTAGGTATGCTTACTTGCTAAATATTTGGTCTGTCACGCTTAAATGCAAGACAAAAATTATCACAATATAAATATTATATTATTTTAAATGACAATAATTATTAATGATTTTTTATTATTATTATTATTATTATTATTCTCTCTAATATTACAATTAAATTTTAAGTCCTAAAGGTGCTTGATTGAATGTTACGAACTAGTTAATCTAGGAACTGATCGCGCAAAATTATTTTATCCATTAGGATTACACGTTAATAACTAATTGTAACACAGAAATATAAAAATTTTGAGTCCGAAAAGTGCAAACGGTAGATGTTTTAACGATTCAGTCAAATTTTTTACAATAACGTTATGGTACGTTGGAAAAAGAAAAAAGAGAAAAAAGAAAAAGATAAATAATTAGTAATTTGATGGTCGAGATAATAAAAATACCTAAACCATAGGTATTTTACCTGTAGAATTGTGTCATTATTTTATAGGTCACACACCTTTTGGATGAGAATATTTTGTGTCAACAGGAACTGTGTATGTTGTCTGTGCATTGTATTAATGCAAATTTCATTTGGTGACTGGTACTTGGACAACATAATGCATCAGTCGGGTAGGCAGACTACCTGCATTTAATTGATAAAACTCTACTAGTTGTAAAAGGTCATAAAACTTGATCACACCGTTGTCTAGCGTAAAACAAACTTGATCGTTCAGTGGATCCATTTGCTGTAAAAATATTTTTAATATTTATTTAACTGTAATGAAATTAAGAGGAAATTAATAAATAAATTTTAATACATACCGCTATAATAGGTGTATGGATAATTTTACCACCACATTTGAATGTTAGTACATATGATCCGCATTTACTTTTGCTCTCTCTTATTAAAAACACCCTACAATTTTTGTTTTTGGATAAATTAAGATGAATATTATTACTTTATAAGTAGATTTAGTGTACTTACCCATCTTTGTTCCCAAGTCCATTAAGGACATTGGCAGCTTGATCACGGCTCATGTTTTTATGATACCATGGCTGAGATAAGTGAATATCATTTTCAAGCTTTGTGACAGCTGTTTGAAGACCAGGAGTAGATCGACCACTGGATCGCCAACTTCGCCGCACACTACCAGGCTCCGCTTGAGCAATGGCAAGCGCTTCTTTAGGATCTTCTACAATACGACCAACATTTCCAGAAAAGTCCATAGCTACGTGAGACCGTACGCTCTCATTGGGCAAAGGCTTCTTATTGTATTCATATTCATTAGCATCGTTGTGCTTTTTCACAAATGATCTGTAGTTGTCTCTTAATTGCTTTCCATACTACAAAACAAACAGTATTAAGTCATTATTTAAGTAATCAATTATTATTTATTTAACAAAATAGTTTAATCCTCACTTTCGACAATCTCATAGCGCACATCCAATAAGATTGCGTTTTATTGGAAGTGCACGCAATGTACTGCTTTATGCCACTAGCAGGCACCAAACATAGGCAGTGACTTGTAGGGGCGCCTGCTACCCTCTTATTGGTGGTGAATATTCTGAAGTCACCAAGGTAAGCCCAGACTTCTACTTCACATTTATCTCGTGTTATAGACTGAAATAATAATATAGTAAGACAAAATATAGTAAACAATAATAATTCAAACTAGTCAGACAGAAACAAATGACACCTGATGGTATTATTTAAGTAGGAAATATGACTATTCATATTATTTTACTAGTTTCATAGAACAATTTTATACTGAGAAACAACGATGTACTTAAAAAAATAACATGACTTTGTGTCATCATAAACACAAATTCAGCTAAAAAATGTTTTAAATCAGCGATTTAAAATATTTATAAACCTACCTCAACATAAAAAACATGGACTATATTCGTTTGCATAAGCATAAAATCTATGATCAGTGCTGGTGTATGGATTCATATGAAAATTAAATATTTTTAAACAACCATTTGTATTTTAAAGTTTTTAATATTTCTAAATTTTAATTTGAAATTTAATATTTATACATTTTAAACCGAAATCGTGTACATCCTCATTACACTGTTAAGTACGAATAGTACGATTGTATAGCAAATATGATTTCAATTATAGTTAAAAACTTAATAAATTGAACGAACCCTATAATATTGTGGACTACACTCAGTACAGTGAATTGATTAACAAGCACGATTATAGGATTATTCTACATTCAACGTTAATACAATAGACCATAAAAAAACGTAAATTCATCGACAAATAAAAATGGATTCTTTTTAATCAGAACATCTGTGATATAAAAAAGTACATTAAATAAATAGGTAACAACTAACATTTTATAGTTTTTGTAATAAAACTGTAGTACATACTACACGTCTACACTAAGTATATAAACAGTGTGAAAAAATGTGGATACCATATATATATATAATATATATACATATACTACACAATATATTATATAGGTTAGGAACACAATTAGACAAAACGTTCAAATGTTTTAATAAAAAAATTTCGACAAAACTTTAATGGCGCATATAGGATACTGTTTATTGTGTTAGAAAAAATATGGTGGGGTGTAATAATGAATAATATTCCTATATATTTATTTTGGAATTTTAGATCTGGTAGGTAATTGTAAATTTTTTAAATTACCTACATAAAGAATTTATAACTTGTATTATATTATATTACTAGAATTTATAATAGTAGTAAGAAGATTTCATAAGCTATTTTAAGTTGAAAAAAGGCCTGCAAGAACTACAGTAACGCCAATCTTAGGTTTTCCCCAACTAATTATTCTAAATATATATAACTATATACGTATATTACCACAGTAAAACCGGAATTGCAGTTAAAAGGATCAAATTTAAATTTAAAAAAAGATATTACTAAACTAAATATGCTTACACAATACATTTCAACATTAATACGACAGTAGATAGAATAATCTCAATGATAAAATTATTAACATCATACTTACAAGTTTAAAACATAAACTGTAGTTAAATAGTCAAATTATTGAATAACGGCAAGTTCAACTTCTAAAATGTATTCGGGTAATGGTGATCACGCCACGGTTTGTTCCAAAATGAAGTATTATTAGAATAAATTGCAATTCCTACGAGGGCTACACTTTATGAAATAAAAAAATGATTTAGTTCCAATTCAGACGAATGAATACAAAACGTTTTTTTAGAGAGCAGAATAATTTTTATTTTTAACACAATATAAATTTCCAAATGAAATTTTCGAGGGCTCATAGTCTGGTAATCAACTTTTACTTGGTGTAGAGTGTGTATAATTTTTGATAACAAGTAAACGATACTTATTATAGGCAGTAGCAGACGAGAAAAGGTTCCCGGCTATCGAATAGCGACTGACGAGAATTGAGTATCGACTGATTCGACTGTCGTCTACTCTACTGGTCTATCAACAATTGATTAATGCTAATCACCATACTATAATATACCGTAACATTGTGATCATGAAAATTAAGATAAGATTTAGAATTAAGATAAGATAAACTACGGCGGACAATTATTTTTGTTCTACATGATTATCTTTGTACGTTATTATTAAAATAGATTATTATTATTACGACTAGGGGAAATACACCACTAGGTTCAAATTTGGAAATATTCTGATGTGAATAATTTATAATTTATATCGTTGACTGTATAATGGATTGTAACATCATACAACGTATTTTACTATTTTATAATGCATAAAATAAACAGTCGTGTAGCCAATTAAAAAAATATGTTAGTCACGAATTTTTAACCTATAAGTAATGAACCACAACACCATTTCTATTGACACTGCAAAAAATGTGAATTTTAAATAACTAAAAAAGATACACTTGTTGAGGAATCATCGTTATTAATCTTTAAAATAATTATTAACACATGATTAAACGTCACTAAACTATAACAACGGCATACGATAAATTCGTAATATATCAGTGCCACGGTTGTGTATTATAGGTATAGGAGTGGCCAGGCAGCCGGAGTGCAATTAAAATGCATTGTGATCAATCAACTCCAAGGACGGATTTATGACGCATCGAGACTAATATCTATAAAAATGGTGCGCGACGGTACGAGTGCATAACGTTATGTACTTATATATATAAATATATAGTTAGTCACCATGCCTCGACGTGTTATATTATATTAATGCATGTGCATGTGCATGTCTGAGAGAGACGGACAGAGATTGATTACGATAGATAATAATTTAATAACAAGCGTAATATGACGTGCCTCCCCGCCGGGTCAGCGTACATTTTGCAGCGTTTCGTCTACTATAACGAAGGTAATACAGAATTATGATCTCTCGACGACCGCACGGATTTCATCGAGGTCAACTCGAGGAGCAAATGCAGTAAGTAATATATTTTATTAGATTAAGACGGCCGCGGCGGCACTTTTTTCATATTGTATAATTAAAATAATATAATATGATATTATTAAGCGTGCAATATCAAAATAATATAATGCACCGATACATGATAACGTCTTATCAATTTATAAAAAAACTGTACGAAATCTGAGTACCATGGGCTACAAGTTACCATATACGTACATATTCTACTACCGTCAGAAACAAAATATTGGACCCGGTTTTTGTTTACTTTTACTATTTCATTTTTTAACACGTACTAGAATAATCGGAAACGCTGACTGTGTTCTGAACATAGAACACATACTCGTATATTTCAGAACTAGGAAGTTATTATTCTTAGATCAACTTTAAACAATTGAACACACAAAGAATAAACATCAATAGGGTAATTCATTAAAAATTACATTTTTGATTTATATGTCGGCAGATAATTCCTGACAAAGAATCCTGCAATGTACTTCAAGCAAGTTCAAGTATATACTTATTGTATGTAAAAAAAAATAAAATAAGCACATCTTTTTCAATTAATTTACCTATATAAGAACATTTTTTCCGCATGATTAAGTATAATAGACAACTACTGTCAATTCATTAGTGTATAATGTAATAATAATAGAGTTTTAATATTAAAGTAAATAATAATATAATAAATATAAAATATATTAATACGGTAAAACTGTAAAAGATAATATAAAATAATTGTATAAAAAAATAATATAATATACTCATGTATAATAAAGACCTCAATATTTATGAACGGCATGTAATTTTTATAGTAAAAAACGGTATACGCGCGGGTAAATTATATTTTATGCATAATATACAGGTACCGTAATTGAGATAAGTAGCAAAAAATGCCGATTATCTTTATAATATAATATGAATATTATAATATTATATACACGGGAGGGCGATAAATTTACAAGATCAAGTAAGTACATTTATCGAACGAACGATGACTCTCAATAATTAGACAATATACCTACTTATCGATACATTATGGCGTCGAATGTTAGAACAGTGGCCGTCTGTCTCGTAGCAAAAAAAAATTTATAGAACCAATAAAAAATAACGGGCAATAATTGTTATGCAATCAGACCAGCACTCGAGGTGTTAACAAATATAAAATAAAGTACCGCACGCACTCACACACACACACATACACAATTCGGATACTCGTGCATCGCGAATGTAAGATTTCGAAAAGATAACCACGCTTCAATCGTGTGCGCTAAGTATGACTGATATTGTCATAGCGCATATATTATACGTGATCAAACCAGAAGTTTAAACTATAAGCAATACAAATAATCCCGATAAACAAGGAGTAAAGCTTAAATTTCTCCAGAAAATTTATACCAAAAAGGATTTCATAAAACATTTTATACCATTATGTATTTATGTCAGAGCAATATCAGAGCTTCTTTACTGATAATTTTTATTCAAAACTTGTATAATATTATAAACCATAGTTTCAACCAATATTCTATTATTTAATTTCATATATTTTGAAGAAAAGAGTATAATATATAGAAAAATCAGATACCATTCAAATTACAGGTGCTTGATCTATAAAAGCTCCCAACTATCTTTGGAGATGCTTATAGATACACCTTATACCCACGTACTTTAAGAGTATGGAGGAGTGTTTGTTGCGATTAAGCGTATACCACGCTGGGGATGTTAACCAAATTTCATGATTTCAAGAAACATGCAAAATAAGACGTCTACTAAAATTAATTTTTTTTAACCAAAATGTGACATGGCGACTATACGAAACTACGCGTCACGGTCATGATCCCAAAATTATTATCCCTCAATAATTTATCGCCTCATATCGTTATCATCCACGTCCTATACATCAATCTATAGTGAGCGTCATCTACCCGTGGGTTAGGTATTATACAACACAATAATGATTGTTTATAAGTTAATCATTTTGATTGTGTGGGGAGAATTGTAACATACAATCATAAATCACAGCTGATATATACACATAGACAAGTGAAAAAACATGTGTGATTTTAATTTTTGATCAGAATTTTATACAATGACGATGGTTCATCCGCGAGACCTTCGTGGTCGTTGGCAATATTAAGCGCGATCGGTTTCTCGATAGGCCTCCACTCTATTCGGCCATTTACAATAATAAACTAGTATTTTTCACATTAATAAACTGTCTATTTTCGCTCAACGCTTTCCTCGGCTAGTGGGCGAACTTCAATACGATATGCCACGTTCACAAATTATTATTATAAATATATGTGCGTGTGTTCTTGCGCAAACACAACGATACTGTGCTTGAGTATTTTTAATTTTAAGCTATCCAACAAATTGAGCCGAGAATAAACACACTAAAAAAATCTGACAACTGTTTGTTATCGTATTTAAATGAAACTAAAAAATTTAACCTCTTTAATTTCTAATGAAAAAATATTGAATATATTTTTACAAAACTATTAATGAGAAAAAGAATGAAGTAACAATTTTTGATATTTTCAAATTCTCTACAAGAGTAAAACTTAATCTTTACTTCTTAAAATATCTCTATCAAAGTAATGATGCGTCCCGGTAATAAAATATTTTAAAGCTGCCCAACATAAATTTAGACGATCAAAACAATTTATCATGTTCAGCTACATTTATTAATATATAGAAAATGATTCAATATAATTAAATTATATATTACAATTTTGTAATAATTAGTACAAATAAAAGACCAAGGAATTAAAAACTGTTGGTAGATTTTTAGATTGTAAATAAACTTAGTATTTCGTATTGCAATAATATATAGACATATAGTTTTAAATTTTCATTAATCCAAATTCAACGAAACAAAAAATAATTTGGACAACTTATTTTTTTTTTTTAATTTTCTATTTACAGAGCAAATTATTCATATAGAGTAATATATACTTATGTATGATAGAAACATTATTGAAATGTCAATAAGTTCATACATTTAAAATAATTTTGCACGGTTTTATAAATAACTAAATATTTTATGACTATTTTACAATATCTATCTCATATGTACTTCCCCTATCTTTATATATAATTATGTGATTGATCAATAAAATCTTAGATTTTACATTTTTCCACATTATTATCTATCACAAAAAAAAAGAATTATTTATGTTGAAAAAAAATTCTACGACAGTTACATCAAGGTCTACCAATTTCATGTAAGCTTCCAAACAACCGAACGTGTTGTAAAATATTTTATAGAAATTCATTTTGCTAGTTGTATTTATCCACGATCATCTTGTACATAATTGCCTATCATATTCTCTTCAACTAAAAATTGTATTTACACAAATGTAAATATTTTGCACTCAATATCAATATGTATTATACATGTACACATTTAACATCGTCTTTGGTGGACATCTTATGTAAAATTACGTAAAATCATATTTTTACCAAGTAAACAAAGGTACAAATACTTAGATATACGATAGTCGTTCGTCAATTAATGAACGTACAAATTTAAATGTATCTATATAACATTATAAAGCTAAAAATCTATTTCAAAATGTTAAAATATTATGATGATAAGTCAGTTAACTGAAAAAATGAGATACCCTCATTAACAATGGATAATCTTAGTTCTAATAGTAACGTTAATTATAACTTGTAGGTTATCGAAAGTTGTTGAAGTTGCATATCATTCTATATGATCTCAAATTGCTAGAGACCTAGCTGGAAATCCAAGCTAAACAATGTTGAATTTAAAAATCGAAAATTCATATTTTATCAATTTTAGGGGGAAAGTGGCAAAGTGCATATTTATTGAGTTTCACACTCATATTATGCATATTTAATATTTTCTAAAAATATTGATCTTTTTGTTTCTGAAGCCGTGTACTTTAATGTAGGTATTTATTGTTATCATCGCAGTCGAATATTAATTTAAAAATAACAGTGCGATATGCATATTTTAATCAGTATCACACTAATATTCCAATGTGCCCACTATATTTTCGAATATTATTTTTAAACTATTTTTTCAGTTCAATATAATGTCAAAATGCAAACAGTTTTCCGCCCTTTATAAAACATTCATCTTTCTATATTTTATATTTATTTTAGTTCAAATTAATAACAACATAAAATGGTTTATTTTTGATTATGATTTTTTTTTTGCATATTTTTCAGTTTTTAGCTCTCATAACTTCCGAGCCCTAATTATAACTATCCTGTTAAAAATCAAAATTAGATATTAAACTGCTATTTTTTTTTTACAAATTAGATTATTTGCTATCATTTAAACTCGTATAGCGTCATTTAAACTATATGTGTTTGATATACACATGACCTATCTATTATATATTATCTATGCATACATTTCATATAATAATTACCTAATGTTTACTAAGGGACTTGGCACTACACATTTTATAGTTGAATATAATTGTAATATTAGACCCTGTCATATTATAAAGTATCTTTGAACTTTATACAACGTTTTTACGTATTATCATTGATAAATCGCATATTTTGTATATTTAAAAGAAACAATTTTTTTAAATATAATAGGTATACTAAATGCAACAACTTTGTATTTTTTCGACGGTTTGATGGTAATATTACAAAAATAATTCGTAGATACTAGGGAAATATACTTAAGCTTAAAGTTAATAAAAAAAATGAATTAATAGTCAATTACGCATTTCACATTAAAAAATTATAAACTAAGAAAGTACTTATCTTGGTTTTTTCTATCACTGACTATCGATTAAAAGCAACGTTCACTCGCATTACAATGCTGTATTCGATTATCTGTGTTTAAACGGAAGTAAACCATCCATAATCAATGATCAATGACAAAATTTAATTAAATATTCACTAAATGACGCAAATTTAATACCTACCTTGAAAATTAACATTTGTTTAAGAAAACATACTCGTTATTTAATTAAATTACCACATTAATTTAATTTAAGTATGATGTACTTAAATACCCAATTAAAAAATATGAATTTTATATTGATCAAATCTTCTAAGATAATTAATTTAGGTAGTAAAATATTTATAATATAGTGATTAGTGATCGATAAATCTTGCCATAGATAATAATTAGTATAGTTGTTGAAACACCATAGTATAATCTAATTTCATATTATTTAATGTGTTAAAACTTTAAAAAGGTCAAAATTGCAAAATAATACGATGGAAAATATCATTACTATTATTACCTACTACATAATGGAATTTGGATGGCTTTATCAACAAAATATTGTTTACGAATTATTAGGTAATTACCTACTATGTTACACAATTCTATTACTATAATATTATTCATACGTATGTATATAAGGTACTATAACAACAATATTATTGTAATAGTATCGAGTACATATTATAATATACTCAATGGCAATAGTTTACCACGATACTATGATACATATTTTTTTCTTACATATTATCCTATATTTTAATACTTATACTTCGTATTTACCCATGACAATAGTAGAAATCTGTTTGGGGG